ATTCTATTCTATTCTATTCTATTCTATTCTATTCTATTCTATTCTATTCTATTCTATTCTATTCTATTCTATTCTATTCTATTCCATTCCATTCCATTCCATTCTATTCTATTCTAGACTTTGATACCCTTAATGTTAACTTCTTTCTTCTCATCTACCGAATATAGAGATCAGATATGTTTGTACATAGGTAGAGTCACAACTCAACAGTTTGTTTAGTGATGGTCAAAGTTACAACAGCACTGAAAAAAGTGACCTATGACTGTTTTTCACACTTACGACCATTGCTGCATCCCCGTGGTCACATGATCAAAATTTAGACGCTAGGCAACTGACTCACATTTATGACGGTTGCAGCGTCATCCCCTTTTCCACGTGATCTCCTTTTGCGACCTTCTGGCAAGCAAAGTCACTGAGGGAGCCTGATTCACTTAACACCTTCGCTACTAATTTAACCACTGTGATGGTTCACTTAACAACGATGACAAGAAAGGTCACAAAACGGGGCGAAACTCACTGAACAAGGGTCTCACTTTAACAACAGAAATCTTGGGCTCACTTGCGGTCATAAGTCGAGGACTGCCTGTAATCTATTTTTGCCAGGGCTGACTACAAGTCTTCAATTCTCAACAGGTTCGCGCTGCCTGAGATGAAAGCCATGTTGCCCTCCTGGATCCGCCCTCACGTCAAAACTTATGCAAACTTTGGACACGCCGTCAGGGACTTTTCTCAGTTCTTCCGTACTATCCAACAGCGTGTAAGTATAAAAAAGCAACATGTAAAGGGGTGTGTGTGCATGTACGAAAGAAAGTCTCCAAATTATCAGAGGTTGTGTTTTGATGAGTACATCAGACATGTAAAGCATTCACCCAGAGACTTTTTTTAAAAAAATCTTGTCCCCTTGTTAGTTTAGGAAATTGATCTATTAACCTGATAACAAAAGTGTTTGGATACCTTCCTGTTGTGACTGAAAGGATCGATCCTGCTGTGAGTTTTGATTCTGATGACTCTGAGGATGAAAGGCTGGAGCCTGCTGAGAATTTGGAGTCTGAATTATTAGAAGACACAGATGTGAGCCTGGGGGATGAGAGGTTATCACACAGACACTCTTCGCCTGAACCCTCGACCTCATTCATGCCAGCAATTGATCCACAAAATGAGTCAGAAGAGTCGAGCGAGGAAGCTGACAGATCGTGGCTTGATGCCAGAACTAGAAGGAGGCTGAAACGTCAAGCTGTGGGGAGGCATCAAGCCAGACGTTGATTTAGGGAGATTGACACGCCCATCTAGGTGGTTTACGGAGGCAAACTCAGTTAGAAGGAGGAGGGCGAGTCAGTAATTAGCACGTTGCCTCAAGGAGTATAAAAGGACACAGCTGTGTGGGGGAAGATTGTCAGGAACAAAGTGACTGATTGCGTGAAGAGGTTTTCAGCAGAGGCTCGGAGGTTTGAGAATTTGTGCCAGGACTGTTTTGCTGAACAGGGCGTGTATTATTGCTGTGGAATATAATTTATGACAGCCGTTATCTTGTAAGACTCCTTTCTGTTGGATTTAAGTTTTGGAACGGCTGCTTTTGGTTTTGTGTTGTTTGAACTCTGAAGGGGGAGCCATAACACCTTCCAGTGTATCGGGGAGGAATTGCAGGAGATTTTGGAATGAGATTGACATGAGGGGTCCTTGGTTCTCTCTGAGCTTGGTGGTTTTCTTGCAGACGTTTCATTACCTTAATGCCCCAGTACTAGAAGGAAATGGGGTTTATGGAGAGGAGGAGGAGGAGGAGGAGAACTGGGGGGCTTTTAGTGCTCTCAGCTTGGTGGTTTTCTTGCAGACGTTTCATTAACAAACTAGGTAACGTCATCAGTGCTAGTCCACTGAGGCTAGAGCAGATGATGTTACCTAGTTTGGGTAATGAAATGTCTGCAAGAAAACAAGCTCAGAGAGCATCAAGGACCATGCAGTCATTCCTATTCCTCCCCCCACCCCCTCCTCAGGATTCCAAGTAAAACATCCCATTCAAGAAGAACTCCGAGGCAGGCAATTTCCTCAAAGAACATTTTATTGGGACATATCAAATTGGCAAGTTCCTGGTGGAAAACCGGCTCTAAGTTACCATCGGTTTTCCACCCAATTAAAAGTCAAACTTTGTCACTTCCCCCCCAGATTCTCCGGTCACACGGTCCAATCAGCATACAGTCCAGTTGCTAGGTGACCTCAGTCTCCACCTTTTGAACACCTGCACCAATGTCCTTGATTCCCACAGGAAGGAATTTTGTTTTGGCTACAATACTCCAGCTAACTCTACACCACCACCACCGGCCCCTTCACTCCAGCCCTGAAGCAATGAGAAGAGAACCACCCTGGGAAAAATTACAAAAATTGAAATGGCCACGGTTTGGCTAACTTCAGGGCTGACATTCCTCTACTCTGCAAACCCCACTTTCTTCTAGCACTAATGATGTTACCTAGTTTGCAAAATGAAACATCTGAAAGAAATGAAACATCTGAAAGAGAGCACCAAGGACTCCTAATTGGCTGAAACTCTTATTTTGTGTGGTAATTTAAGATCAAAGACCTTGGATTAATTAACAATGTAAAGTGGTATATTGAGACATCTTCAGATCACCTACTCAGTTGCAAGAGTCTCCTCTGAATCTTATACCCAAGCCTGTTAGGATAACAGTTGGGTTCCACTTTGTAATAGTTTGGCTTAAAAGTTATCTCAGGGGTCCCCAAACTTGGTAACTTTAAGACTTGTGGACTTCAACTCCCAGAATTCTGGGAGTTGAAGTCCACAAGTCTTAAAGTTGCCAAGTTTTGAGACCTTTGAGTTATCCCAAAAGATTTTTTTTTCAAAAGGTAATTGAACTTTCTTTGGGTTTTTTTTCCTTTGAAAAATATTTTGCTTCTCATCCAGCAAACATCTTCAGTTCCTGGAAAGAAAAAAACCAAGAAAGTCTAATTGCCTTTTGGAAAAAGCACTTTTGGGACAACCATGACCTGAATGGTTTTGAAATTCCATAGACATCTGGTCAGTTATGAGAATCAGGGACCCAGCCCAGTCCTCAAAGTAAATCAAAGACAGCTGATCTGTTTTCTAATAGCTTCATAGCTTGTTTTTAAATAATTCTCTTTCTTGAATGCTATTTTGGCAAAGCGGTACTTTCTTTTTCCTATGAATAAATAAATATTGTAAGAACTGCTCCAAAGTCAATTATGCAGTTGCCAAGCCCATTTAAGAGCTGAAATTTCTTATGATGGCAAATAGATGTTTCTTTTAAAGAACAATTTGAATATTCCCTCTTGTTTGTTTTATATGTTTTTTACGCTCACCCATTTCACTGTTGACGCAAGTATGGCCAACTTCATTACTTTCTTATGAGATTGCTGCCCAGCCTATTTAAGTGTGTTTATACCTGCCAGCCTGGACCAACAATGCAGCTCAGTACAATGGTGAACATTAGGTGGAAAAGAAAACCCCTGTATTTAATTCAAGATGGCCGTGATCACTCCAGGAAGATTAACCTGACTCCAGAGTTGAAAATCTTGAATTTCAACTTGAAATACTATATCCAGTTTTGGTCGTTACATTACAAAAAAGATGTTGAGACTTTGGAAAAATTGCAGGGGAGAGGAAGTAGGATGATTAAAGGCCTGGAGACTAAAACATATCAAGAACAGTTACAGGAATTGGGTATGGCCAGTCTAGAGAATAGAAGGACCGGGGGGACATGATAGCAGTCTTCCAATATCTCAGGGGCTGCCCCAAAGAAGAGGGAGTCAAGCTATTCTCCAAAGCACCTGAAGGCAGGACAAGAAACAACAGATGGAAACTTATCAAGGAGAGAAGCAACTTAGAACTAAGGAGAAATTTCCTGAACAGTTAATCAATGGAACAATTTACCCCATCACTGGAGGTTTTTAAGAAAAAACTGGACAGCCTTTTGTCTGAAGTGGTATAGGGTCTCCTGCTTGAGCAAGGGGTTGGGCTAGAAGACCTCCAAGTTCCCTTCCAACTCTTCTGTAACTATGTAACTAAATTGCTAGATACCAGGTCATTATGTGGAAAAATCCATATTTACTGCAAATATGTAGTATGCATGCATACATACCAATTCTAATGCCAAAGCATCTCAAAGCAGTTTTCTAGGGAAATTTTTAGAATAGATAATAACTGATGTATTAAAATAATATGCGAAAGCAGTCAATTGAAACAAGCATGTTTTGTAAGCTTCCCAGAATCTCCTTATTGATGAGATGCTTGGCATATAAACGTCATAACTACATAAAATAAATAAAACATTCATTTTCTAATATGCATAGCAGGAAGGCCTGAGTGAAGTTTTCAATCAGACATTAAGAGAAGTGACAGTAGAAGGCTGTCACATTTGAAAGAGGAGCATCCCTGTATCATATTGATCACTAAATGGCCTTGAACAGCTGTACTAAATAATACAGTATTTGATAACAGAAAGATTTCTGAGGGATGCTTGGTACTGTCCGAGCTGGGCTATTTTCTTGCAGACATTTCATTACCAAACTAAGCAACATCATCAATGCTAGAAGGGAATGGGGTTTGCGGAGAAGTAAAGAATGACTATGGGGACCTTGATGCTCTCTGAACTTGGTTGTTTTTTTGCAGACATTACCCAAACTGGGTAATATCTCAATGCCAGAAAGACCTTTGTTTATTAAAAAAAAAGTCAGAATATGTCAAAATGTTCATTTATTGTATTTGTTTGTTTATCACATTTATATGCTACCCATCTCACTCTGCAAAGCAACTCGAGCTTCCCATTAAAAAAATCAGAAATGTTAACAGCTTTAGGTACAAAAATAAGAAACCAGAGGCAAGAAACTATACAGCGGTGGCATCTTCCGTATTAGAATATGCAGAATGTAGATTTCTGGATTGGCCCCTTTTTAGAGCTGTTTTATAGTTTCTCAGGCCTTCTGACCCATTGCCAGTAATTACAGCAACCCCTCTGAATTCAGAGGACAGAAAATTCTGCCTTAGCTAATATATGTGGTATAACATCATTCTTTTCGCTTTGCTCTCACCTGTTACTACACCTTCCCCCCTCCCAAAATTGTGACTATGGGTAGTCCTTGACTTACAACCATAATTGAGCCCAACATTTCTGTTGTTAAGTGAAACACTTGTCAAGTGAGTTTTGCCCCATTTTATGACCTTTTTTTGCCCCAGCTGTTCAGTGAACCACAGCTGTTGTTAAGTTAGTCACACGGTTTTCCAGTTTCTGGTTTCCCCGTTGACCTTGCATGTCAGAAAAAGGCCTGACCGCCGGACCCCGCGACCATCATAAATATGAACCAGTTGCCAAGCGGCTGAATTTTGATCACGTGACCATCGCGATGCGGCAACTGTCGTAAGAGTGAAAAGCGGTCATAGGTCACTTTTTTCAGTGCCGTTGTAACTTCGAACGGTGACTAAATGGACAATTGTAAGTCGAGGGCTACCTGTATTGGTTATTTGAAAATGGTCTCTCTGTAATGTGAAGTTTCTCATTTCTCTACAGATGCCAGGTCCTCCAACTCCTCCTCGTCATCTTTCTTCTACTGTCATTGCCGAAGAAAATGATTCCTCATCTCCATCTCTTGTTCCGTGCAAGCGGTTCCCTACTGGGACAAAAGCCAACGTCTTGGAAGACCACGTTCCTAGTCTGAAAAGGAAGCGGATGGGTCAGTACACTCCTTTCCTTAACACGTGAGAATAGGAAACATGTACGGTACTGGTAATTCTCAACTTGCAAAGCATTTGTTTGGTGAGCACTGTTCTTATACAGGTGTCCGGTTCCGAGTAATGCATCCGTCCTAAAACGAACTCTTGAGTCATTCCAATTCCTCAAAGAACAAGTTTATTAAAGTACACCATCTTGGCCCTAACTAGTAGAAAGCCAGTACTGAAAGTTTCCCGGCTTTTCACATCACTATACCTAGGATTTTCTCAATTTTCCAAAACAATATCTCCGATTGTCCAACCAGGATGTGAAACAGTTGCCTGGCCACTTTGCTTCTCCTTCCTTGGCCAGGCAGCCGTTGGAAATGTGGCTGACTCATCATGCAGCTATGTTGTTTTGGCTGAACTTCCATCCACCTCAGCTCTCCCCCACCTTTCAGCTCCCAAGCGTGTGATGACCCAGAGCTTGGCACAAAGCAACACAGTCAGATAATCAGTAGGAGTCCCTTTATTAGCTCCAACTTTGCCCCCAATGTCCTCGCTGGAGAAAAATTCTCCGAGGAACAGCCTTTGACTACAGGGAATCAAGTCCAAAACATGATCAACAAAAACTGTAACTTTTAAATCCAATCAAGCCAGCCTGAAGTAATTAGTTTGGCAGGGCAGGAGCAAAGAATCCAGATGTGAAGGCAAGAGTTCTAGTCCTGCCATAGGTATGAAAGCTGGCTGGCTGACTTTGAGCCACTCATTCTCCCTCAGCACAACCCGCCTCAGACAGAGGTTGTTGTGTGGAAAACAGGGGGAGGAAAGAGTATTAGGTAAGTTCACTGCCTCGAGTTACTTATAAAAGTAATAAAGGCAAGATAAAAATCTAATTAAATAAATGAATGTTGCAAGCAGCAACAATGATACAGACGCTGACTTGCAAATGTTGATCTTCTGTCCTTATGTAATGTCCACTGTAATGATGACGCTGCATGAGGCACAATTTCAAGGTAACTGTTGGCTTGATCTGGCTGTTTCATTTTCCCTTTTTATTCACGGAAAATTTAGTCATTCGTATTCTGAGGCATCCTGGAACCGATGAAACATTCCTGGTTTTAAGCTCATTAATTTATATTGTGGCTTTGTGCAAATTGTACACAGTGTACACCAAATCATTCCATTTGCATACCTAATATTTGTGTTACCAGTAAATGAGCTTAGGGTTTAAATGAGGGGGTCCCCGGTGCTCTCTGAGCTTGGTTGTTTTCTTGCAGGCGTTTCATCACCCAGCTGGGTAATATCATCAGTTCAAATCTCGTTCCCTTCTAGCACTGATGATGTTATCTAGTTGGGTAATGAAACGTCTACAACGAAGCAACCAAGCTCAGAGAGCACCGGGGACCTCACAGTCATCCTCCTCTTCCCCCACCTCTCCCTGCAAACCCCACTCCCTTCTAGCACTGATGATGTTATCTAGTTGGGTAATGAAATGTCTACAAGAAAACAACCAAGCTCAGAGAGCCCCAAGGACCTCATAGTCATCCTCCTCCTCCTCCTCTTCCCACCCTCTCCCTGCAAACCCCACTCCCTTCTAGCACTGATGATGTTATCTAGTTGGGTAATGAAACGTCTGCAAGAGAGCATCCAAGCTCAGAGTAGCACCCAGGACCCTTCGCAGTTGTGTCT